CAGGAAGTTGAACTCCCCCCCCCCTCCCAGGTCCTTCCACTCCCCACTCCCACTAACAAACTGTAACCTGCACCATTCACCTTGTGCAGCATTGGTCTGCTCACTACCTCATTCAGCATTGAACTGACCTCATTCAACTACCTCTTCTGACAGTTTAAATAAAGAACTGCTCTCTGAGCTTTTTGTCACTTTAATCAAAATAAGCTCTTTTGCACTACAATCATTATATCTGCACTGTTTGTTTACTTCACTGGTTTGCACTCTTATCTGCCATGTGCCTTGTGCTGCTTTATGTATTTTTTTATATGTTTTTTTTACATTTTACCTTATTTGTATATTTGTATAGTTGTATTTTATTTTATATTTAATCTGTATCTATCTGTATTTTATGTTCTACTGTTAGTGTTATTTGTATGTACCAAGGGTCTGAGAGTAACGCAATTTCAATTCTCTGTATGTATGTGCTGTACATGTGGAAGAATTGACAATAAAGCAGACTTGACTATTTGCTCCATCATGTAGCCTAAATATGTGGTCTGGTGAGTGAAAGAGCAGGACCGGTTGCAATAAACAAACTCCTTTAGTTACATAAAATTACAAACAAATACTCATTATCGATTTCTATAAAAACATACCATTTTTTTTCAATACCCAAATGTGTTGCTGCTGCATAAAGTGTGGAGGACGAGTGGAGCGCAGAGCGGAACAGAGAGCTGTCAGGCTTTAGGACCCAGCGCGAGGATGTTGAGTGGGTGCGCTGCCACAATGCGGCTGTAGGAAGTGATGGTCCGCTACTGAGAAGTAGAGCAGAGGCCATGCCATTCATCCAATATACAAAATATATAAACGACTGCATTTATCCAGAATGCCCCTGTTTTAAATAGGTGACCGCTTTTATATTTAATTAACATGGCAGAAAATTATACATAGGCTACACCCTGCTGAGGGCTGGTGTGAAGAGAGGGGTGTCCGCATGTAGTCATAGGCCGAGAGCGCCCCCCATCATTAAAGCACCTCCTTCTTGAGCTCGCGGCGAAATGTTGTGTAAACGTGCGAGCTGTGGATGCTTATTAAGTGCTCTGAAAATACGGAGAATAATCAACATTATGCCCTTGAACAAGTTACTGAAGCCAGGTTGCCTGAGAGAGGAGTCTTTACAATAAGGTTCCATTCGTTTCCATTAGTGCTACAATGAAAATACTCCTAAAGCATTTATTAATCTTAGTGAATGTTATTTTCAATAATACGTTACTAAAATCTAAAGTTGTATCTGTTAAAGGAATAGTTCACCCAAAAATGAAAGTGTGCTGAAAATGTCTTCACCCTCAGGCCTTCCAAGATGTAGATGAGCTTGTTTCTTCTTTGGAACAGATTCAGAGAAATGTAGCATTGCATCACTTGCTCACCGATGGATGCTCTGCAGTGAATGGGTGCCGTCAGAATGAGAGTCCAAACAGCTGATAAAAACATCACAATAATCCACAAGGCTCCAGTCCAGGGAAAAGCTATGTTTGTAACAAGCAATTCATCTTTGATGAACTGGAGTTGTGTTGTGGATTATTGTTACTTTTTTTTCTATGGACTGCAAAATATATTTTGCCAATCAACATTGGACCTCATTGAGTTTGATTGTATGGAGAAAAGACTACATTTTCTAAATATATGTTGTGTTCCTCGAGTTTGGAATGAAATTATGGTAAAGAAACATTGTCAGTTTAACTGTTCAGCAAAGAGAATGTGAAAAGGTAAGCTTTGAGCAGTTTATTAGAAATATGTAGACAAAATTGAAAGCTTTTTTTTTTCTTTTGGAAACATTGATAAGAGTCAACCTGCAATGTGCACAAAATGTATCCCTGTTTGACACCTAATTTTGTTAGTGCAAACTTATATGGTCTTTTTTGTTTTAGACTCAATTGGAAACATACAATACCTTTCTGTTTTCCCATCTTTTACATTTAAAGGCATCACATATCATACTGCAGTCACAATATGAAAGACATTAATGGTCCAATACGAAATACAGTGCTAATATAAGACTTTGAAGAAATTTTGGAGAGTCAGAAAATATCAACAACCAACAAACCTGGTACCACCTCAAGAGACATATGAAGAGAAGTATATTAGGAGGTGAGTCTTGTGTCTAATAACAGTTTCTTATAGTTTCCAAAATCCATAATCATTCTTACGCTTTAAATCACAAGATTGTAAGCTACACAGATTTTGCAAGACACCAAGTCTCTCCAACTCTGCAAAGTTTCACTTTTCATTTTAATTTCAATGCCTTACAATAAAAAAAAGAAAATTTCCATCACATCTATTGCTTTTCGGTTGAAAAAATATGAATACAGTGCAGTTTTTCCAAACAGTTTAAGTATACATGTTTTTAGTACAGATTAAAAAAAAACAAAAAAGCCAGGACTGCTCATAAGGAGAGGGACAACGAAGCTCTGTACAACAATATGCATATGAACTCTCAACAGAGGTTTACGATGATCTTCTGGAGTGCAGCCACTGAGTAGACAGAGGAGATGCTCATGAACTCAACGGTCTCACCGAATTCTGCTTTGCTCTCTTTCAGATCATGTAGCATTTAGGTGACAGCTTCCTCTTTTCATTATGTCACCCCCCTCTCCTCCTCTGTCTGTCCACAACATGCCAGTCGCTTATTCCTGATCTGGCATTTCTGGAGAAAAACACAAACATGTTAAAAGTATAAAAATCTGTCATAATTTACTCTCTCGTGTTGTTTAAGTTTGTATAGTTTTCTTCATACAAAAAGTCATACAAGTTTGGAACATCAAGAAGGACACTAAATCATTTTCAATATTCTTCAGCATTATGAGTCAAGTTAATACAAACACTTAAAGGGACAGTTCTGTCATTTACTCAACCTCACGGCCTTTCAAAACCATAAGACTTTTGTTCATCTTCAAAACACAAATGAGAATAAGACTTAACAATTTTTTGTCCATTCATTGAAAGTCTAGGTAAACAATATTTTCAAGCTTCAAAAAGTACATAATGACATTGTAAAAGTAATTGGCATGAAGCTCAAACATGCTTATTTGACATGCAAGAACCAGTGAGGTTTGTTCTCGAGCATCAAGCCAGCACAGTTGAGTTTCTGTTTACCTTATTTAAAGTGCCCCTATTATGCCATTTCAAATATTGCCCTTTCATGCAGTGTGTAATGTAGCTGTAGATGTGAATGTAAACGATCTGCAAAGTTGTAAAGCTGAAAGTGCACGATAAATAAAGTTATTGTCTCCCAAATGAGAGAATCGACTCTGAACAGCCTAAACGAGTCGTCAGTAATTCGAATCCCACTTCCGTGATGGCTACACGTCACTGGGTAACACCTTTGCATAATGCCCGCCTATGTTCTCCGTTGGCTGGCCGTGAACAACTAGACCCGCCCTTAAACACTGCAGCTTGTTCACGTCATGTCGAGAAGATGCCGTGTCCTACGCTGTGAAAGTAAATTAGTTTTATTTTCACTTCCGAAAGATGAGGCTGCAAAGAATCAGTGGTTAAAATTCATTTTTCCACTGTACCCACAGCAGTACAACCCCAATCTTTTTTGTGTTCCCGTCATTTTACTGACTGCTTCTCTAATCTCTGGGAGTTCAATGTGGGATTCACAAAACACTTGCTCTTGAAAGATGGCTCAGTACCCAGTTTATTTGGACCAGCTGACTCCACTGAATCACAACCTGTAAGAATGATAAATAACAGATGTTTATATTTACTATCGAGCGTTCAAAATACAGAACTATGGCAATGGGTGTATCGTTTCCGACACACGCTGTACTTGGTAAACCAATCACAACAGACTGGGCCATCTGACCAATCAGAGCAGAGTAGGCTCACGGAAAGGAGGGGTTTAGAGAGACTGAATCTTATGGCGCTTTTCCACTGCATGGTATGGCACGGCTCACTTTTGGGGGGTTTTCCACTGTGCACAGTACCTGGTACTTTTTTCAGTACCACCTCGGCTGAGGTTCCAAGCGAACCGTACCGTTACCCAAATGTGACGTGTCAGCTGATCACTGATTGGCCGGAGAGAATCGCCACTACCTGCGTCATTGAACTTGCGACACGAGACACTAGACCCGCTAGATTAAATCAGCACAGCCAGCAAGGATCGAACACACATTTTTTGGAACGAACGCAACCGTTTCAAACAAACTTTTTTTAAAACAAAATAATGGCTGTTTCGTGGTCTGTTGAGGAAGTACAGACGTTCCTCTCGTTGATTGCCGAGGAGCGGATGCAGCGAGAGCTTGATGGGACGACGTGGAATGAAAAAGTTTTTCAGGAGGTCGCTCAGCACGGCAGTAGAGGCGGCGCAACTATAACGACACGTCTATAATCCCGCCCACTCTAAAGTGGTACTAAACTGCAGTGGAAACGCAAACTGAGCCGAGCTGTACCATGCAGTGGAAAAGCACCATTAGAACTGCTTCGAATGAATCGTTTAAGGATCGTTGGGAAATTAGGTGAAACTAAATGCATATTTTGAGAAAACAAAAGTGCTGTTTGACCTTGCATGCATTTAAAACTATTGTAGGAGACTCCCAAAACAATATTAGGAACCTTAAAAATGGTATAATAGGGGCACCTTAAAGTGCTCTTTGTATGTTTGTTGATCAGTGTTCATATATGAATAAATTAAATATTCATCATATAAACTGATAGTGTTTTTTAGAAGACTTTAAACCCCTTGATTCATATGGATTGTTTATTGTCTGTATGTACTTTTTGGCTTGATTACATAGACAATTGATTACATGATTTCAATAGATGGACAAAAATTATGAGAGAACATTAAAAATAAGTAAATGATGTCATTACATTTTTGGGTTGTACCATCCATTTAGAACAGTAACAGCTCTGAACACACAAGCTAGAAAAAGAGGAAAAACTTACTTTCATCATCACTATCAGCTGATTCCTGAAAAAATAAAATCAACTAAGTCATTCATAGCAGGAAGACGACGTTACATGTTTTAAGGCAAGAATGTGTCACTATAGTCGATTAGTGATAATGAGTCATTTATCTAGATACTTTTTGTTTTGGTTTACTGTGCTTTGAAGACGATCAATTTTATCCAGCTGTCAACATGTTAGACTGTCAGCAGCACAGTAAATACTTCTCTAAATTCATCCCCTTTCAGGTACGGTCAAGTTAAAACATCACCTTTCAAAAGCGTGTTGAGACCTCAGTGTTCTATTCCATTCTGTTGATCTAAAACCCTCTTAAGAAATGCATCTGATTGGACATGACCTACTCTAAGTGAGCCTAATTAAACTGGGATTCCTTGAAGGTGACTAGTTGACTAATATTTCAGACAACCCCAATTAGTCCATTAAAAATAAGTGGTTTTGCACATCATTAGTTTAATCTGAAACTTAGGGGCCGTTTACACGACAACGTTTTCAGCCAAAAACGGGAAACTTTTTACGTGTTTTGACTGTTCGTTTACACGACAACGGCGTTTTGGGGACTGAAAACGCATATTTTTGAAAACGGTTTCAAAGTGCCGGTTTTTGAAAACGGCACCGTTATCGTTTCCGTGTGAACACCCAAAACGGAAATCTTTGAAAACGGTGACGTCATGCGCGTGCGTAGTACGTGTTAGGTATGTAGACATGCGCAGTACGTGTCGATTTTAAAGGCAAGCGCGAACAAACATACACAACAATGGCGGAGTATATGGTACTGTTGTTGCAGCTCAAGAGTTTGCCAACGCTTCTTCAGCAAAGTGTGGATTTACTTCATCAATATTACAACCAACAGCGGAGACACATCACATACATCATATAATCGTCACTTCCCTACAGGTACTGTTTACTTACAAGGTGACAGCACCAACTACTGGCCTGGCATACGTAATACAGCGTTTTTGGCCGTTACAATGTGTAAACACGAATCGTTTTGAAAACGTTGTCGTGTATACGTGAAACTTTTTAAAAATGCAAGGGAAAAACTTTTTTCCGTTGTCGTGTAAACTTACCCTTATTGATAGTCCAGCCAAAAGTGAAAATTGTGTCATTTCACACCCTCATGTCATTCCAAACCTGTATGATTTTTTTTTCCTCAGTGAACCCCCCCCCCAGATAAAAACAATGGTTTCATCCATACAATGTTGTTTTGGACCCCACTGACTTTCATAGTATGGACAAATTCATTTTTCAAAATGACTCCATAATATGAAAATCAATGGAGTCCAAAACAAAAACACTGGCCCAATTGACTTTTATTGTATGAAAGAAAAAAAGAAAAAAAACATGTTGGGTTGGAATGACATGAGGCCGAGTAAACGATTTGGATTAACTCTCCCATTAAACTAAACTTTATTACACATATGAAGAAACTTACATCATCTGCTCCGTCTAGGTCAGGTAAATCATCCTCTCCTCCCATGTTGCCCATCATCTAAAACCAACAAACCAAGTCAGTAGACCACATTAATTACAGACGTATTCTTCACACAGTTCCCATAATACCAGCAATACTGCCAGGAGGTGAATTATAGCTATTTTTTTTAACTAAAAAGTACTAACATCTGAAAAGCGATCATAGTTGGACAAATCTTCATCTGAATCATCCTCCCAGTCTTTCCAGTTATTGAAGTCAACACTAAGCCAGTTGAGCTGCAGACACAATTCACGTGAGAAACAAAATACAAGTATATCAAGTTTGATCAGACAACAATCCAAGTACAGATGCACTGATATTACAATTCTGGCCGATACGATAAGCTGATGATTATTATATACAACAGGTTTTATGAAAAACTAATGGTTAAGGAGATACACTGCCAAACAACTTATGATGCCACAAACTACTGCTTGGTTCACCATTTAATTTTAAAACCAGAAAACTATGCAAACACAGATGTATTACTGTTAGACTTGCTCAACAAGATTCTCTTTAGAAAACAGGCCATTGAAGACACGATTTACAGTAATTCTCACTATAGCGCCTCTGCTGGCAGCACTGAGAATGCAGTGTGTACTTGAATTTCATTACCAACACATTTTGCAACAATAGTGCACAAAATCACACTTGCATAGTTAGAAGCATTTGGATTCATGTACTTGTCTAGAGTTTGTTTGAGGCATATTTTCAGGTTTAGGGTAAAGAAAACACAAATCTGGCTAAGACGACGACTGGCATTTTAAGATAATTGTTAAAACCAACTCTTTTGATACAGTTTGAGCTCAAATTGTCAAGATATCTGACATAGTCCTTCATCAAATAATGACTATTTTAATTGTTAATAGTGACAATAAACATGGAACAAAACTTGCCTTTGCTTTGTCTTTTGTTAACCTGGGCCAGGATTTCCCTGACTCTGCTTTCCGTAAAAAGCACAAGATCGACCGGTCTGTACGCCTGTGTTTGGACCCCTGAGAATAGAAAGTAAAACATAACTCAAAATGTGCTCATCCTGAAATGTGCATCCCACTGAGGGGTCATTTGAAACGGGATCTCTCAACTGCGTGCTAAACTCACATCTTGATCGATGGACTCAAAAAGGTCAATTTCATTTGAGTACTTCATGTTATCCATCCCACTGAGACAGCTGAAAGAGAGCAGAAGACAGCATTAGCCGAGCCACAAAACATTCAAACTACAGCCTACAATCTAAGGCAATGACAATAAGACGACTTTGTGCTTTCACATAGATGAATGACGTTACAGCAACATACCTGAAACCAAATTTGGACTTTTCAAAATTTACATTCACATCCTTGCTGTCCTCCACCAAAAACTCAATGAAGACACAGTCTCGTCTGTCGTACCACTTAGCAGCTGCTGGATGCCTGTTAGGGGAAATTTGTATTTAAATTAAAGCTAGACCAGACAGGATCATTTACGGAGAACTATTTTATATGTGGATTTAATCAATTAAAATAATGGATAGAATATGTTAGCCAGGTTGATCGATCAGCTGATGTTTGATAATTTAAGGTCATAAAATATATCTTGTCAACCAGACAAAAATCCTTTTCACCATTTATTGGTAAAAACACTGTTTTCATTTATTTAAGTAAATATTGTGCAAAATTAAGTTGCAACTTTAAGCATCTAAAAATTCAGCATTGATCACAGAAATAAATTGCATTTTTAAATATATTCAAATAGAAAACAGTTAAAATTGTAATAATATTTCACAATATTACTGTTTTTACTGTATTTGTCTGTCAAATAAATGTATCCTTAGTGAGCATAAGAGACTCCTTTCAAAACTTACCGACTCCCAAATTTTGAACATCACTGACTGTATATACTATAGATTGACATTTTTCTATATTTCTTTTTATTAAGTTATCAGAAAACAATTCGGTAGATATTTCCCCTTGCTGTATTGCAAAATAATTTTTTTTTTAATCTAATAAATGTCTTAGAAATGGCTTTTGGTGAGCATAAGATACTTCTTTAAAAATCGTTACGCAATATAAATATTTTAATTAAGAGTCGACCACTATTAGGTAATATTAGGTGTCAAAACAAGTTCCCAACAAATACTAATAGTAGGTCAGGCAAAGAATACTCAATTCTCTCAACAAATGAGTCTGTAAAGAGCAGGTGGCATGAACATCTCTGACACACCACTTCAACCTTCTACCTCCTTTCCTCAAATTCCCCATGATGTACTGAGTGCCTCATGGCTGAACTCTATGAAACAAGTAAACACTTAACAACAGAGGAATTTTAATGAATAAATGAACTAAATTCCATCCTCATAATAAATGCAATCTTCATACTGTCCATGCCCATGGGACCACATTAATTAATTGGTAATCGGTGTTAAATTCCATCAGGGGACAAGCTTTTTTTTTTAATCAAGATAATATGATCACATGATTTGATGTTAATCTGAGTCCCAAGAATGTCTGCCATTACAACAAAAATAGCACTTTTATTTAAAAACACAAACTTTTGATGAGAGGGTTAGATATAAATGAATCCCCGTCTTCTTGCAGTGGGTCTTCAGTGAATATTCGTGTTATTGTCACTCATTCATTCATTCTGGCCCTGAAGCACGTGCAGGCAGCGCGCTCATTCTCGCGACTCATTCAACTATAAAAAAAACCCCGATAAACTCCGTCACAACTCCCTGGGCGAGTCTGTCGATACTAAAGCCCAATTTCACAAAGAACTGTGTTTACGAACAGAACATAGTGCAGTGTTTACACTACGAACATTGTGGCAAAAGGACGCAACATGCTAACACCAGTGAGCTGATCCAGGCTAACTGTAACGAGCTAACTTACATCACACAAATTTCAACAAATATTACAGATTTCTGAAAGTAATGCGGTTATATCAAGCGTTTAATAAATCTGCAGAGAATTCCATCACGTTACCGGATAACTTAGTTTAATGACTCCGAGAGCAGTGAATATTCGTGTTATTGTCACTCATTCATTCATTCTGGCCCTGAATAGCTTCACGGCAGCGCGCTCATTCTCGCGACTCATTCAACTATAAAAAAAACCCCGATAAACTCCGTCACAACTCCCTGGGCGAGTCTGTCGATACTAAAGCCCAATTTCACAAAGAACTGTGTTTACGAACAGAACATAGTGCAGTGTTTACACTACGAACATTGTGGCAAAAGGACGCAACATGCTAACACCAGTGAGCTGATCCAGGCTAACTGTAACGAGCTAACTTACATCACACAAATTTCAACAAATATTACAGATTTCTGAAAGTAATGCGGTTATATCAAGCGTTTAATAAATCTGCAGAGAATTCCATCACGTTACCGGATAACTTAGTTTAATGACTCCGAGAGCAGTGAATGAGTCGTGCAGAAGTAACGTTAGCTAATGCTGGCTAGCGCTTAGCTTCACAGTCCATAGTTATTCAGTACCGGTTTCTGAAACGAGCTGTTTTTCGCATAAAGCAGAACAGATATTTTCGACAGAAAGCGCAGACTTACATGGCTCTGTGTGATGGTCGGGTTTCTTCTGGTATGTTCTCTTCTTCTTCTTCTTTGGTGTATATTGGCGGTTGGCAACCTAACTCTGGTATGTTCTCCCGGTCCGGGGTTCTGTGTCACAGGAGCACGAGAAGGCGGGGCCTCAAACCACGCCCCTCACAATCTTCTTCTTCTCTTAGTTAATGACGGATTGCAAACAACTTTTAGGTGCATACCGCCACCTACTGTACAGAATGATTTTTTACACGGCACCCCTGCTCTCGACAGATGGCACCCTGGTTGGGAAACACTGATTTAGAGTGTTTTCATATTCTGTTCGTCAACACTGCGTCTTTAAGAAATTAAAATAATGTCTCCCGGGTAACTCTTATCCCCTCTCCCTCTGCTTCTGTTCCCAGTATCCCCATCAAATTCCACTCCCGCCCTGCCTCCCGAACCCTATCTTGAAAAACCCGTCTTTCCACCTCATATAATATACAGTGCAGCATGATATGTTCAGCATTTTCTTTAACCCCACAGTTTCCACTATTCCTTTTCCTCATTAAAAACAAGGTGCCATTCAATCCTGTGTGATCCACTCTCAGTCTTGTCATTATAATTTCTTCCCTCCTGGTCCTTTCCCTATAATTTTTAATACTGACAGACTTTAAGCCCCTCACAATCGCTGCACTCTAGAACTTCCGTTTGAGTGGCGGAACTATGACGTCACTTTGTAGGCAAAAACCCGGAAGCGAGATAGCATTTTAGCACTTCCGGTTCCATCGTCCCAGACTGAATGGGTTTTTTGAATGGGAGTTTGATTAAATCCCCTAAAGTAAGGTCCTTGGTTAACACAAGCTCAAAATACTTTCACGTTTTATTCTACGAGTTACACCCAACTCGTGATTTTTTTAAACTGTTACGTGTCTTCAAAAAGACGGTTGCTAAATGGGACTAACATTACAGGCGTTGTCGGAGACATTAAACGTCATCACGCCGAACAGTTGATCAATTTATAGAATTTTCCAGCTGTAGTATAATTAGTACAATTAATTGTAGAATAACCTATTAATAGTTTCACGCATTTTATATTGTTGTTCGACAATGTTTTTTGCTTTGCCCCGAAGAAGACAGAAAAGTAGCACGTTGATCTACCAGCCGTGGGTCTTCATGTCTTTTAAAGTTAATGGCTAAACAGATGTTTATAAACGTTCACATTGTTGTTACAGATTAAATATAACACAATAACATTAAATGAATATTTTTACCAGGTTAAATGCTGGTTATTAGAAACTCAAACCCCTTTAGCTAAACCTCTCTACTTAACAATTGGTCGCGCACATCCACCATGTTTGTAGTTATAACGCTTTTTATTCGTGTTTGTAGTTCCGAGTTTGTAGTTCACACTTCAAAAATCGACCTGAAATAGTAGACCATCCGGGAACTTTTGGCATACTCCCTTCATCATACTATGCTTTGGGACACACTTATTCCCATCTCACTTATTCTTAATCTCATTACTTATTCTAATCTCACATACTTAGTACAATACTTACATATTTAGGTTGGATAGTGTGAACATTGGGTCTAACCTCGTTACTTCACGCTACCTCCTCAACATTTTTGTCATATTAATAAAGTAATATAATCTTATTTTTTTATGTTTTATTTGATAATTTTTTTTCTTGTCAATGATTCAGTGTATTTATAAATTGTATTGTTTTATCATTATTTTTTAAAATAATATCTACGATTTAATTTATTTTATTTTCATTTAGCTTATTTATTCGTTTGTTTATTTTTCTAATGTGTACCCTTTTTGCTTATGTATGTTTTTGCACTTGCATACATTCATGCAGCATAATGTATGAATGCACTTGTTTCTTACACTGAAAAAAAGTGGTGTTGGATTTACCGTACTTTAAAAGAATTTTCCCTCATAAATAGCTAGAGAATTTCACAAATATTTACAAAGAAATGGCAAGCAACACATCATTATTTTTTAAAATAATATCTATGATTTAATTTATTTTATTTTCATTTAGCTTATTTATTCGTTTGTTTATTTTTCTAATGTGTACCCTTTTTGCTTATGTATGTTTTTGCACTTGCATACATTCATGCAGCATAATGTATGAATGCACTTGTTTCTTACACTGAAAAAAAGTGGTGTTGGATTTATCGTACTTTAAAAGAATTTTCCCTCATAAATAGCTAGAGAATTTCACGAATATTTACAAAGAAATGGCAAGCAACACATTGAATTAAATGTGAAAAGACTTAAAACAGTATTTTCTTGTAAAACGTACTCCAATAATGTATATGTGACACTTTCAGTTTGTACAGTATATATATATATAGACCTCATCTACACACGGTATTGCTCCACTGACAACACTTTAGTTACTCCACTGCACACCTCAGACCACTTCCTCATCACTTCTAACCTCACACTAACTCCTGACATAGCCCACACTCCCCCGCAGGTCACCTTTCGACGTAACCTACGCTCACTCTCTTCCTCTCGCCTATCCTCTTTGGTTTCATCCTCACTTCCTTCACCCTCTCAGTTTTCAGCACTGGACACAAACAGTGCTACTGACACACTTTGCTCCACTCTAACATCTTGCTTAGGCAACTTTTGCCCACTTTCATCCAGACCAGCACGCACTACCCCCTCTGCCCCCTGGCTGTCCGATGTTCTCCGTGAACATCGCTCTAAACTCAGGGCTGCAGAGAGGAATTGGCACAAATCAAAAAACTCTACCGACCTTAGTGTGTATCAGTCACTCCTCTCTTCCTTCTCTGCAAGTCTCTCCACTGCTAAAACAACATACTACCACAACAAAATTAACAACTGCTCTGAC